AATAACTCTTTTGATAATGCTAAAGCAACTAACTCACTACGAGCAAGACTACCTACTCTTGATTTGATTTGAGATAATGACACAAGCAATCCAATATCATTATTATCACCAATCTTATTTATTTCCTTTTCTAGCTCTTCATCTTTACATTGAATTAAATCTACTTCAGTATAGAGAGAATTAGCATGAATTGATAATGGTTTATAAATTAAATCATCAAGAAAATCACCACAAATAATAGTAGAAGAATCTAACTTTTTTATTGGTAGAATGGTATGAAGATAATATTGAAGAAGTAACTCTGGAGAGAGGACAACATCATCGATGTCAGTTACTAGTTGTTTTCCAAATACATTGTTTAATGAAATAATGATGATTGTTAAAGGCAAAGATAGTTGTAACACTATTTTAACAAAACATGTTCCAACTCTTCTTCCATAAAACGAAGGTGTTTCATAATGTTCTGAGTGAATAATTTTAAATGGTGAGGACACTGAGATTTCATTAGTAGAATAAATATTATCAAAAGGAAATGAAGAAGGTTTACCATGAATGTAAATGTTGATTTTCTTCTTTGGTTTATCCTCAATGAATTTGTTTGGTGTTCTCATGTCATATAAACAAATATTATATTCATTTATTTGTGATGATTGTTGTAATTGTACATGTTTGATAGTTCTAAAGAAATTCATTTTATCTTTAAACTTTTTTTAAGTTCCGTTTTATATTAAAAATACAATTTTAACACATCAAAAGAAAATGTGATGGTATCTTTTCATTGTTATTGTCGCAATGAGTATTTGTTTTGTATTTACATTAATACTACTTATAAATAAGAATGTTTTTATGAAAAATGTATTTGTCATGAAAGACAAAAATAATTTAGTACAACTATTAAATGAAAGAGTATTATCTATTCTATCAAGAATAAAGTGAGTTTCATTTTATTATAAAAATTGATAAGAATTAATCATCAATATAAATGAATTTATCAAAATTAATTAAACAATTGAAAAATTGAAATAACATTATTTTTAGGATTTTTGTCAAAAAAAAAAGCTATAAAAAACTATAAACAAAATTAATAATAAATAAAAAATAATTACCCATAATTTCTAATAATAATAAGAAAGATTAGATAAATTAATAAAAAGAAAAAGAATATTGGGATCCACTTCGGTGGAAATCCCATAAAATTGGAACAATACAGAGAAGATTAGCATGGCCCCTGCGCAAGGATGACACGCTCATACGAGAAGTTAAAAAGTTTTTTTTTTGCTATTTTGATAACTTGTGTTGATTAAAAAGAAATAAAAATGTTCTTCAAAGAAGTTGAATTGAAAAAAAATCTAAAAACTTGAAAAAATAAAACTAAGAAAGTCAATGTTTAGTTGGTTTTTCCGTAAAAGTACTCCAGTTGAATTAAGAACTGCATTTGTTGATGATCACACATGGGTTGCCGAATTGAATTCTGGTGATCAACTTCAAACAGTTAAAGAGTTGTTTGCATCTACATTTGATTCAGACAATTTTGTTGTTATTGATGAAGATAAGTCAGTTACTGCTTTGTTGAGTGGAGATGAAAGATGTCAATGCACATTAACATTTGGATATAATGGAGATAATAGAAGAATTGCGGTAATTTCATACATTGATTCAGAAGATGAAGATATTGTTAAACCAACGATCAACGCTTTTGCATTAGAGATGGAGAATTATTCATTACTATTTGAACAACCAATTAAAGAACAAAAACCAATTGAAAACTGTATGGTTCCAATGAAAGAAGTTATCTATGAAAGAGATATTATTATTGACGAAGATGGAAGTTCAATAAGTGTAATGTTAAGAGAGAATGTTGACCTTAAGAAGATGCTAAGTAAAATTGGAAAATTGGCTAAAGACAAATATCTTCTTGAAGCTAAAACTGGTAATGGTAAATTAGAGTTCTGTGAAAAAGGAAATGAAACGTTTAAAATTATTGTCCAAATTGGTAGAAATAATGACAAACAACGTGTTATGGCATTAACCGCAAGTGAGAAGAGAGTGTATTGGAAAGAATTCACTGAAGCAATTGTTAGTTTGTTAATGAAAGGAAAGTGTCTTAGCAGTTATGCCGTCACTGCTACACTAAGAAAGAACTTACGTAATACTGCTAAGCCTATTACTAATGCCACTGAAGATAAACAACCAAAAGAAGAAAAGAAAGAAGAAGTCCATATTAATATTGAAACTACTCCTAAAGAAGAAAAGAAAGAAGAGGTAAAAGAAGAAAAGAAAGAAGAAGTAAAAGAAGAAAAGAAAGAAGAAGTTGTTCAAATTCCTATTGAGCAGAAATAAAATTTCATATTTTTTTTTGTTTTTCTTTAGAAATTTTAGAAATAAAAATAATTTGATTAAAATATTTTTTCTTCTTTTAGGTATTTATAATATCTTCTATTCAACTCTATCTGGAATAACTATTGAATTATTCCTATATGAATTTACTCATTGATAACAAAAGAGATAAGTATAACTCTTTTTTACTTTTTTGTCTAATTCTTATTTATTTAAAGATGGTTGATATTCATTATTACAATTGATAATAGTATTTTTCTATATTTTGATAAGAGGAGAGTTAATGAAAATTAATCAATAATTTCGGTTTGTTTCAACGTAGATTATAATAAGAATCTATTTAAATTTTAAAACTTAAAATCTTGTTTCTATTGATTTTATCATTTTTTTTATTCGTTTTCATTCTTCTTTTCACTGTATGTATATTTATGACTATTCATTTCAAAATCTAAATAATTTAAAATAAACTAAGTAGTTAAACAATGATTTCACTAATCAATGAGTTATCGCGTTTATCATACACCATTGAACAAAAATATAAAGTAGACTGTATAATCAAAATAACTAAATAGAAGATTTTTTTTTAGATATAGTTCATCTAATTAGAATAAGCTGATAGACTAAAATAATTTAAATAATCTTTCAGTTATATTAAGTAAATAGAAAATAATAATTTAACATAAAAATTTTATATTTTAGTATTTAAATATATTATTTCAAATATTTAAATTGAAAAAAAAATAAAATATTAAAGTATTTAAAAATGATATTAATTATTTCTGAAGAAATTAAATAACAAAAAATAGGAAAAGTACTCTTTGATTCAGATATTGATTATTGGAAGTTTAACATATCAATATTTGATAAAAGAGATAATGAATAAAGAACATCTAATAACTATCATGAAGAAGATGGAAATAAAACTGGAGGATAGGTCAATGAGAAAATTATTTTATAAATGACTAATCCATTTGTATTTTCATTAAAATAAAAAGGAAGAATAAAAGGATATGTGTTAAGGGCTCACAGATGGATTTTGTTTATGGAATCAATCAAGTGATTGTTTGTTAAAATTTCATTATATAAATAATATTGTTTATAAAAAAGTACTAAAACAAAATCATATTATTATCAATATTTATTTGAATTTGAAACTGTTTTGAAAAAAATAATAATGCTTTAACAAAAAGATTATAGTATTAAAATGAAATATTTTTTGTGGTTGTTTTTTAAAATTGAAAACAAAACATAATAAATATATAGTCTTTATTTTTATATACTGTTATGTTGTTTTTTTATTCATTCAACAAATATAATATATTAAATAATTCATTTGTATATAAAGTGATAAGATATAAATGCTTCAGTTGAATCAAGAGTTTAAATTTGTAAAAGTAAAAAAATAATGACATATTATAATGTTAATTGTATTTGACATCAAGAGAATAAATGAGTCAGTTGTTCCTCAATTTCAATAACCTTTTAACACTCTCATAAAAAGAACTTTTATTTTTATTGTTAGAATGAATTGAATGATATTTCAAAATGACTTTAATGTTTAAGAGTGAAATATAAATAATTTTAACATAAAAATTTAATAATGAAAAGTATTATTTAATCTTGTTTTCTCCACTTATTTTCAACGTTTTTCCAGATTTCTACTTCATTGTTATCTAAAGTAATAGCTAATTCATTACCTGTTCTGTTGAAAGTAATAGTCAAAGGAATTTGTTTAAATTTAGGAATTTGTTGAAGTAATTTAGTGTTAGAGTTATGAATTCTATAAATATTAATAAAGAAGTCTTGTGCAGATGAGGCAATCAATACTCACCATTATAAATAGTAAAAGAAAGGTCTCTAATCCAATCTTTATGGGTTTTAATTTCATTAATACATTTCTTTTGAAAAATTTTGATTTAAAAAATGTTTATTCTCCATCAATACATTGATGAAACTTAATCTATTATCACAACCGCTAACAATATTAATATTTCCTTCCTACTAATAACACTGACTCTATTTACACCACCAGAATTTGCAATAAATGAACTCGTTTTCCAAGTTTTTGTTGATTCAACATATTCAATAATACTAATTTGTCCATCTGATTGTCCTCAAGCTAATTTAAGTCCTTCACTTTCAGGGAAGAAACAAATAGAGTTAACTGACTTTGTATGGAATTGATGCGTATAAACTAGATTGTACAAGCCTAGAGTACTTTCTCTCCAGACTAAAACTGTTTTATAATAACTATATGAAGCCACTACAGGACCATATCGAGGATGACTCCACCTAACTTGCCAAACAGGACCAGTGTGACTAAAACAATCAGTATTCACAAGGTTATGAAGAAACTAAAAAAAGAAAGTTGGTGATGAATTTTAAATTCCTCTTTTAAAAACTAACCATTTTAAAGTTAAAAGAGAACGAACAGAGTCAGAAGAAGTAGTGTCATATATTAAAATCATATTATCTAAAACACTACATGCAATTTTAATTCCATAATAATCAAATGAAATGTCTTGCTAAAAAACATGTAAATTTAATGATAATTAAATTATAAAAACACACCACATGGTAAAACAAAAATTAATTCTTGTTTAGTCTACAAATAAGTACTAAATCAAATAAAAAGAATGAAACTTTCAAACCATAAAAACTAAAAATTAGAATTTAAGTTTAAATAAAAAAGAAAAAATAAAAAGAAAAATAAAAGAAAACTGATTAAAAAGAAAAGATAGAATGAGTATTGGATTCCCTATTATTGTTCAATATTTTAATGGTACTCAAAAAGAATTAAAAGAGGTTATTAATAAATATAGTCCAGACGTAGGAATTATTAAATTAACTCAACAAGGTCCAAATTCATTTAAAGTAATTGTTAATAATACTCAACAAGGAAGAACAATGATGAATTTTAATAATTTTATTTATAACGGAAATCAAATGATTGTTACATTTGAAAGAGAACCTTCTACAGAAGCACAATTATTACATTGTTTTGAAGTTATTAAATATTCATTTTGTGATGTTCAACAACGTCGATTAGATCTTTCAAATTTAATGGAAAAATTTAAACAACTGGGTTATTCTCCACAACAAACAATTAACCAAATTTTTACACAATGTATTCATTACTTTAAAGAAGAAATTCCAGATTTAATTGAACTTTCAATTGCATCAAATCAAATAGGAGAAAATACAAAAATTTTTAGTGAAATTTCTTATGGATTTCCATTACTTTCAAAAATTGATCTCAGTAATAATAACCTCACAGCTTTATATCAAATTCAAGCTCTGGAAAATTTGCCTATTAGAGAATTAAATTTATCAAATAATCCATTACTTAAACCTACTATCATTCCGTTTGTTTTATTTAATTTTATTAAATAATATAAAGTCTTTTATATTTATAGTATCAACTTATAGTCAATTAACTATTTATTTCTCTTCATTAGAATTATTAAATGGTCAACAAGTTAAACAACGTCTTTACCTTCCTTCTATTAATTCTATTCCTTTACCATCTAAATTTGATTCAATTTATCCTTCTAATCCAGAACATTTTAAACAAATATTTCAATTTATGAAAACATATTTTCATTACCATGATACTGATGTTCAACAATTAGTTGCTGTTTATTCTCAACAATCTATTTTCGATATTATTCTTGAAAAAGGAATTAAATTTCCTTCAATTACTTCAAGAAATTTAAAGTCAATTACAAATTCTAATGACCTTTTAAAAAGTGTTTATATTGGACAAAGAAAAATTGCTGAAAAAATATTAAACCTTGGTGGGACTACTCATAGAGTGACTTGTTTCTGTTATGATATTATATCAGTTAATTCTTTGGTCGTTTGTTTTTTATTAGTTCTCAAGAAATCGATTATTATTAATTTCATTAGAACATTAATGTAATGGGTGACGTTAAAATTGGCAATGATATTTACCAATTTTGTAGAACTTTTGTTTTAATTCTTTCTCCAAACCCAATAATTTTAAATGACCATTTACATCTCTTTTCAAATACTTCAGTATTTACTACTGTTAAAACTTACTCGTCTTATGTAAGATATATTAGTTCTCATTTCCCTGGACTCGACGAAGAATACTCTTTATTTACTTTGGAAAAGAATCAATGGAATGTCCCTCAAACTCAAAAAGAAATTTGCCAACATTTCAACATTAAATCTACTTTTTAATTCAAAATTAAAAATCATTAAACTATAAAAGATTTTTTTACTTAATCCTCTTTTATTCTTTTTTTATTTATCAAAATGAATTCTTATTTTTAACTTTTTTGTTTTTTGATAGACCCTTATTATATTCCCTTTTAGATCTTATTTATTTAAATTTTTACTTCTTTTGAATACCTTTTATTGCTTTTATACAATTACTTTTTTATTAGTATCATAAAGATAGAACACTGTCATTGGATTGTTATTGAATACTTTTAAAATGATAAAAATACATAAAAATGTTCTGGTGATTTAATGGAACGGTGTCTTAAATAAATGAAATCGACTGAATTACTTAATTAAATAAAGAAAAGTAATTTCGTTATTTAGTATATGAGAGTTCAAGTTGTCCAACAATTCTAGGAATATATACTATTTTTGAAAGGATATTCTTTTTTGAGTATTAACACATACATAAAATAGCATAACAAGATTCTAACTCAAAAAAATTAAATAGACTAAATAAGAAAATTAAAAGTTGATGAGTAATGTTGTAATTTAATTGGTGAATATCATCTGATTTTAAGCAACAACGATCAACTAAAATAGGAAAATGAAAAATAATAAAAGGTTAACGAATTTAAAGAGAATACGATATTAGTAAAGTAAATTAAAAAATATTGTACTCAGTAATAAGAATTATTATTACCTCTAATTAGATCTAAAGAACGAGACATCATTAAATATTTTCTATTAGTAATAAAATAGTTAAATTCCCTTTTGTGTGAATTTATCTTTTATTTTAGTTATATAAAACTAAAATAATTTATTGAAGTTTTAACAAACAAAAAGAATAATTTATAATAAATTTATTATAAAAAGA